GGGGGGGGGGATTGTTCAGAGTCAAAAGATAACAGTATCACCTAGTTTCAGGCAGTCATTCGTGACGAAGCTCTTTCAGTGACTATTGCAACACAACCACACATGGCGCTCTGTAATGTGCTTTTGACTCGAGGGGTGAGTAATTGTAGCGTATCCACCTCCATCAGTGTGCGGTTAAAACAGTATAGAAAACGAATGTCTCTGTTTAGTCTTCAAAGGTCTTGCATGCGGGTCTAAATCTAAGAGTTGGGTGGCCAACAGCATCCAAAAGCCTGTCAGTGAAGGCCACTGCAAAGGAAGGTTCCGGCAAGGTTTCTGTGAAACGCTGGAATATTTCTAACGGGGACAGCCATGTTTTTCTTCCATGAAGGGGAAAAGAGCCACTATTGTGCCACAATACTTTAGATCTCAAGAAACCTAAAATATGTCTGTGACCTTGAAAATCAAATACAATATTTGCTTTTCAAGATCGCGAGTAGAATCAATCGTACTGTGGCAATATGGTAGCTTTTGCTCCTCCTTGAAGGAACAAAATCTGGCTGCTGTAGGCGTAAAGAGAGGCACATCGACACAACGATGGTCATTTGTGAGGCAGCGTGGTGGAATCAGGCTCTCGTCAATCTTTGGGAATGTAGAGTTATTGGTATCATCTTAAATCTTGTTCACTTGTCTTTATATGGATGAAAAAAATATCCATTTATCTTGAATACAAGTCGAGATATTTGCGAAAGAAGGAGGTGGGGATCACCTGTTTTCAGAGGTAAAATTAGTGAGAAAAAGGCCGCCAAAGAATAGTTATTTCCTGAGCTTAAGAGTCCGTGGTAACTGAAAATTAAAATTTTTTGTGCCTTTAATCAACGTTTTTCAGAAAAATCAACACAAAAATGAGTTTTTTAATGGGCATGAAAGGTGTTGAGCCAAAAAAAAAAAAAAAAAAAAAAGATAAAAAATCACAAACCTGCGGAAAAATGCAAGTTTCTTCACTTTGATTATGTTGACGAGAGCCTGATTCCATCACGCTGCATCACATATAGTGCTGGGAAAAGGTAACACAGACAGAAATAACAGAGGGAAAGTAAAGAAGTAGGACCTACTAGTGGCGCCCTCTATCCTACTGCTAAATCTTGCTGGCCTGGACTGAATCAAATTAATGAACCAAATTGGTAGTAGGTACCATAGGCATGGGAATCAAACCCCCTGTCAGAGTGAGGAGATTTTTCATTTAGACTACTTTTAACTGAAAAACTTACGTTGTACATAAAAAAGGACCCTAATGTTGTCAAACAGTTTAAGATAACAGAATAACATTGAATTATAGCCAGAATACAAAGTATGTAGCCAGCTTAAGATGGATATTGTTTATATTACTGTTCATTTTCATTATGCATGTGACTGTAAGCCTGTGTGTGTGTGTGTGTGTGTGTGTGTGTGTGTGTG